AAAAAAAAAAAAAAAGTCATCAAAAACATCTGAAAAAAATATCTGTTGTGGAGAAAAATAAATTAAACAAGATTTGCCTGAGCATTATGTCCGAATTCCTTACCAAATTTGAAATAAAAATAAAATACACAGAACAAATACTAATAATAAAAATAAATAAAAATAAAAAGAGAATTAAATTTAGTGCGTGCACGAGCATGTTTTCGACACCGCCATCTTTGGCGATTTTTCATGTTTTTTTGGCATAGCTAAATGCCCTGAAAATTTACAGATTCTTACTTCACATAATACAACACCCACTAAAAAAGTTTCAAAAAATAATAAAATTGTTTAGACCCCGAACTAAAGCGAAAACAAAAAGTAAAAAGTGAAAAACAACGTGGGCGAGCACGTTTCGCGTTTTGAAGTTCGGCCAAGCGTGGAACCATGGGAAAAAAAAACAAAAGGTTGTTCTGGGGACAACCACGTACCAATATTCGTTACGTAGAGGAATAAACCATAGAGTAATGGAGAAAAAAAAAAAAAAAATGATAATAATGCATGGACATGTAGACGGATCTTAACACATTCATCTTCGCCGTATTTCTAGTCGTTTTTTTCGTTTCGGCAGGTCCAACGAAAAAAAAGAAACTTATTTATATGTGTGTCGCATTATACTGAACGTACAAAGAATGTATCTGAAAATATTGCATTTATAGTGACCCGAAATGAAAAGAAAACCAAAAGTAAAAAAAAAAAAAAAAAATCCGAAAAAATAAATTACAAAAAATGAGAGAAAAAAAAAAAAAAAAACATTTTTTTTGCATCTTCACCGATTTTTCATTCAATGTTTGGCTTCAAGTTCACAGATTGACTTCAAATTTGAGAGGTGGGTAGCTGTCCTAACGGACAACAACGAAAAAAAAAAAAAAAAACAGAAAGACAAAATATTTTTTAGGTGTCCGAATACTTTGTTAGGCTAGTCCAAACCCCTTCCGCTTGGGGCCCCATACGGTGGGCACGCAGTCCATACGTTCTGCTATATATATATCGTCACAAACAGAACTGCCCGGTAAAACCGTAGGCATATATATATATATATATACTAGGCTACCAGAGTGGCCCGGGGTCACTTGCCCGACTGGGTCAAGCATATTTTAAATTTTTTTAAAAATATATATATATTTTTAATTTTATTTTATATTTGAAATTTGGTAAAGAATTTCGATGTGACGCTGAGGCAAACGTTCTTCAATTTATTTTTCTGCATAGCATAGTTTTTTTTCGGATTTTTTGGATTTTTTCTGTTTTTTGTTGGGACCCTCCCTTGTCCTTGCACGGGCTGGCAACCCGGGACCCGGGCGGCCCGGCTGGTAGCCTAGTATATATATGTTGTGTTGTTGCCGCCGTTAAGGACGGGCCACGTTTGGACGTTCTGCGAAATGTGGAACCGAAAAAAAAAAAATCAAAAAAAAAAAAAAAAAAGATTTCCGAGGACAACCAGGTGACATTATTCGTTGCGTGCAAGAATAAAGGGGGGGAAAAAATCCAAAAACAAAATAAAGAGATTTTCAATGCTGCATGGACCTATGGATGAATTTTAGCACCGCCATGTTCGCCGTTTTTCCACTCATTTTTTTGTTTCGGCAGTCATAAAAAAATAAAAAATAAAAAATATATGCGTGTGCATTGTGCAGAAAATACAAAAAATGTTTATGACAATTATGCATTTCTCGTGGGCCGACATAAAGAGAACAAAAAATGTGAAAAAATATAGCGAAAAAAAAAAAAAAAAAAAAAAAAAAAAAAAAAAAAAAAAAACCGCGAACTTTTTGCACCAGCATCTTCGACGATTTTTCATTGGTGTTTTGCACCACTACCTTCGGTGGAAACCGCCGCTGTGATTTATTATTGGGCCTAGTATTATGTGCTGCTTTGTTTTCGCAAGGTGTTGGAACAAAGTTTTTGATCTGTGAAACTATGCCTCCGCATGTGTAGGTGCATTGGGGGTTTCCCGCATCATGCTGTGTGGCATGAAAATGGAACGCCAACACTCTCTTGCGGTTGTGTCGACGTCGCCGAATTCCCCATTGCTTCCAACTCCTTCGGAGTTTGCATCACCGTCCGCCACACGCACCTCCCTGGACGGCTCTTCATTGCACCACGACATTTTGCGCGGTCGAGGGCGAGGGCTTTTGGATCCGCGCGGACGTAGTCAAAGCGATGCTATACTGGCGAGACCAGCAACCAGGCAGCGTTTGGACGACAAGATGGCGGTCGTCCCGTTTCCTCCTGTTGCGAATTCGACAACTGTCACACATACTCCTTTCCCGAGTCACCTGCGCACTCTCATTGCCGCAATTCCTGCTCTCCCCACATTCTTCAGGAATCCCACTTCGTCTCCTTTTGTGCAATCCGCTGCGGTTCCAATGTGCCCTCCGCTATCATTTCTCTCGGGTTTCTCGCTTGGGTGTTGCCGACGCCGCTCTCTGCAAGTGATTCCATAGACGGGATTTCTCGCCATCGTCCAGACCTCGCGAATGCGGCTGTCCGTGCCGCATTGGATGTGCTTCCGTCTTCAGTTCCTCGGCTGCCATTGTTCCACTACTCGCCCCCTGACATTGTCGCTGGGGTTCCCAGTGTGGGTATCATTGCATCGCCCCCCGTTTGTCAAGCAGAAGAGGTGCAACCGTTGGACGACACGCTGCGGACAGCATCTTGCACACAAGGCGTATGACATGGGCACCCTCCCAGCCACGGAGGCCTCCTTTCTTTTTTCTTTGAAGGTAGAATTAAGAAGAAGGAGGTTTCCAGATGTTTTTTTCGATAAGGCCCTAGTAACGTTTAATACTAAGATAGGAGGGGCTTGGGTGCAGTGGGTGAGATGTTTTACTCATTGGACCTGGTAGAGGTGACCTGACAGTTGATAGGGTGGGACCTGTTCGGGGTCTGTTTTTTGGTCTATTGGGACACCGCGGCTTGATGTCGGGCCTTAAGTTTTTTGAAGTAAAAAAGTGTTGACGTGACTAAGAGTAGGTATATAGCTTTGCTAGTTCCCCATTTGACACAAACCAGCGCTACCCCTGATGATGGCCGGTGTACTGGCGTATGTGATAGTCCAGTCCAGGTGTGAAGTGATGACGTATAACTGCCACTTCTGTCAGCTCCCGGGTCATTTCATCCGGAAATGTCCCTTCAAGCATCAACCGAACGGAGCGGAGATGGCAGCACGTATTCGAGGCGGATCAGGCAGCAATCCGGGAGGTCTACTACCAGCGCCTGGCCAGCAAGCCAGCACCTCCAACGCGATCGTGCCATACCAGGCGCCTCAGAACCAGAATAGGGGCTATGGCGGAAATGAGGAGGAGGATACCAGAACAATTATAATCAACGGTATTCAAAGCCATGGTCGGGAGGATACCGACACCAAGAGCGTAATGAGGAGGACAAGTTTGACAATATCTATAGTCTGCTTTCGAAGCAGGTGGAGGAACGCGAGTTACGGAAGCGTGAAGCAGCTAAGCAGGAGCTGCTGGAGGAGGAGAAGATGAAGTTACGAGCAGAGGAGGAGAAAAGGCTTGCAGCTTTGAAGGAGCAGGAGGAGTAGCAGGCAAGGCTGGGGAGGATCGTTCAAACGAGTGTCAAGGCAGTTTGTGAGTCTGCCCTTGGCAGGAAGGTTGAGATTCCGGATGACGATGCAAGTACTATTAGCACGCTGCAGAAGGAACTTAATGAGCTACGCGAAAAGACTGCGGCAGGCTCGGGGGATTCACGCATAGAAGCCCTCCGGAAGGAGAAGGAGGCTCTAATGAAGATCAGGAATCAAGAGAGTGAGGAGGACAGGCTGCGGCAGGAGATTGCCGAGCTTAAAGACCAGAAAGGGAAGGACAAAGCAGACGTCAGCAAGGAGGATGAGATAGCAGCGCTGCATCTACAAATTAAGGAGTTGAGCTCCTTTCGTGCTGTTCTTGAGGAGAAGAGTGTCGAGGTTGCCACCCTTAAAACGGAGAACGGGCACCTCAGGAAAGATCTCCATCAACTGCGGGATAAGTTCGAGTGCATGCGGGAGAAGCGAGGATCGGGTGAGGTCACGTTGAAGAGCCCACCGAAGGAACCAACGAAGGGCAAGCAATGAGTCGATCCGAGCACCACAACCATGTATACTCCTCGTGACATGGAGGCCCTCCGGAAAGCATACAAGGATGCACTGCGTGACAAGGAGATGACAGCAAAGGAGATGGACTTTATGAAGGATAGGATGGCTCGGATGGGGGCGACGCGTGTCCGTATTCGTGCTCGCAAAGCATCGGCGAGGAAGACTACGCCGCGGGATCTGAAAGGGTCCTTCGAAACTGTTGAAGTGGAGTCTAATGGTGAGGGAGCGGGTAGAGGAAACGGGAAAGGCACTGCTCGCAAGGAAACTAATGCAGCTCAAGATCAGGGAGTGGAGAAGATGGCGAAATTTAGGGATATACGTCTGAAGGGGCTTCGGCAGGCCAAGAAGGCTGACATGGAAAAAACCTGTGAAGATGAAGGGATAAGCTACATCAAGCTTGAACAAGCAAAAGCTGATGTAGCGGAGATACGTGCTAACAGGGACTTCGATGCATGGCTCAAGGAGGCGGATCAGGCTGCGGAGGATCAGGATTATGCCACATCCACAGAGGACGTTCCCGACGAGTGAGGACACTCCCTGGGCGCATCACAACATAGGGAGCTGACCCTCTTCTGTCGGGATTATTGGTCTGACCTATCTTCGGAAAAGATTCTGTATATATATCAATTGGTTGTTATTTTGTTAATTCTTCGAGGTGAGATTGCGTGGTGTATTAAATTCCGTGATCTGTTGTCCGCTTTAATTAGGAGTAATTATGATTTTCTTAAATGCACTGGTCCTGTTATTTATGCTCTTGTATCTCCTTGGTTTCGTCACGTATATATTGGTTGTACGAGCAGGTCTGTTGATGTTAGATGGAAGGAGCATGTTGTTGCAGTTAAATCGCTTGGAAACGTAAAGGGGAATAGGAAATGGTATAGATGGCTCCGTAGAGTCCGATTGAATTCTTATGTTGCTATCCCTATCTTTGTATGTGCCGAGCAGGATCTTCTAGTTTCTGAGAAATTCTTTATTAAACTTCATAATCCCTCTCTGAACTCCACTTCCAAGAAACGTAGGCCTCGCAGTATTCAGCGACAAGGTGAGAGAGAGCGGTTGCGAAAGAAAGTAGCCGTCAGCAGTAGTCCGAGCAAAACGTCTTCATCCCCCTTCCTGTTCTCTTCCTCCTTTGGTTCGTCTTCTGTGAGTCTCATCTCTATTCTCTAGCAGGCAATCGATCAAAAAATCCCAACACCCTTCTCAATCTCTATCCTGTCTGGCACGGCATTTTCGGAGAAATGGAAACTACTGCGTCGTCTATTCGGATCATCTGCAATCTCAACCACTGACCTTCCCACTTCTCTCTTAAAACATTCTCGATCTTGGTTTCGTTTTGATCAATGTATCTTCTTTCACACGGTCACGCGTTTCTGTTCCCGATCACTCCCTCTTAAAAACACCCTGATTCATCTCCTCGGCAACCTGTCTTCTAGAAAGCAGCTAAAGGACTGGGATCTCGCCTCTTTCATCAAATCTTATGATGCTATCCGTACAATCTCTAATAAGCGCTCTCGATCCACTTTGAAGCTTATCCTCTCTCATGCTTGTCGAAGAAATATGTCCATATGTTTATCCGCTAGGCTTGTGATTAAGATCCAGTTTGACGACTCATTAAATAAGACTGGAATTCGGGATAATTGCAAGAAGATTGTTCGCAGTTTGGACGTACCTGGCCCGTATCTGGATCTTGTATGCCGAAGAATGAGATTGGTTTGGACAAGAAATGATGGCATAGGTGACGTGATGCATAACTTTCGTAAGTACTCTGTGATTGGCAAACCTGTACGTAGTTGCGAAGGGTTGGATGGCAAGTTCCCTCGTCGTAATGGTCACATAGCGTTTAGGTTCAGCGAAGTTGAATTTCTCCCAAGTTTTCTGAGTAACTCTAAGGATATCATATTTCCCAACCACTCCTGTAACAAGTCTCATTTTAGGAAACAGATAAGTTCCTCTCTGTCTTCCTTCTTTGGTAAAAATATAGATGTCCCAGCAGCTCAACTCACTGATTGTTTCTCGACCGAGAGTAGTGGCGGAAATTATCTCACGGTAGATCAGGTGCTTACCTGCGAGAGAGCTTTTGAGGGTCTGGTGTTGTGCCCGCTTGATCATAATGCGGGTGACACTTTTGCTTGTTGTCCCACAGCTTATGCTCATGGAATGGAGATGTTGTTTGTAAAGAATCAGGGGATGAAAATCCGGGGGGATGATGAGGACCTAGTTCTAGCCGAATGTAAGAAGAGATATAAGGCTGGGAAGTTTGACCAATTGGCTCCATGGGCTGGGTGCGGACGTCTGGGAAAATCGTACGTGATACCTAAACATAAGGATACTAATGAATGGAGACCGATCTGTCCGTCCTGGTCTGAGCCCTCCAAACGAGCTGCAAGTTTTGTTTCCTCATGTGAGAATGAATTTTTGAAAAGGTTAGCAGTTGGCAGTCATTTCAATCTTCGTAGTACACATTCGTTGCCGTCTTTTTTACGTTCAGTCAATAAATGCATTGAGGATGACGAAGGACTGTTGGCAGGAAGTTTCGATGTGAAGAAGATGTTTTGTTCTCTTTTGCACTTAGCTATTCTGCAGGCGGTGGAATGGGCGGTGAGCATCTTTAAGGAGAAAGGATACTACAAGTGTTTGGTTCACTCTAGGAAGAAGTTGGTAAGGCTTTGTAAGATCTCAGCGAGTGAAGTGGGATATAAATCGGTGAGTTTTTCTTTGCTACAGAGATTTGTGGCATTTGATTTAGATAATACTTTCACGATGGCTATGGGTACCGTAATAAAGCAGAAGTTAGGAATTCCAATAGGAAAGTCTTCAAGTCCTGCCCTTGCGTGTCTAATGTGTGTACATAATGAGCATGTCTTTTTGCGGAGCCTGGACAATGATGCGCGTTTGGTGCGAGGCTGTAGACTAGTAGATGACGTATCCATTTTTGTTCGCTATAAATTGCGAAGCAAGGCATCCAGGAAGAAACCGGAAGGGATTCTCAATACTTTCCAAAGGGCATGCTATGATCAGCATTTGGTATTGGAGCAAACCAGCCAAGGGCTCGACTGGCCCTACTTAGGATGCTATATTCGGGTAGGGCATGACCCTGTTAAGGTGTACTGCCAATCCTTGCATAAGAATCAGGAGTGTCTGATTAGTGGGGGTGACATTGTCTTCTAGAATCTGCAGAACTTCGAGTCATATTGTAGCAAAAAGCAGCAATTTGCAGTAATTTTTTCCTTCCTGCATAAGGCGTATGACATGGGCACCCTCTTAGCCACGGAGGCCTCCTTTCTTTTTTCTTTGAAGGTAGAATTAAGAAGAAGGAGGTTTCCAAATGTTTTTTTTTATAAGGCCCTAGTAACGTTTAATACTAAGATATGAGGGGCTTGGGTGCAGTGGGTGAGATGTTTTACTTATTGGACCCGGTAGAGGTGACCTGACAGTTGATAGGGTGGGACCTGTTCGGGGTCTGTTTTTTGGTCTATTGGGACACCGCGGCTTGATGTCGGGCCTGAAGTTTTTTGAAGTAAAAAAGTGTTGACGTGACTAAGAGTAGGTATATAGCTTTGCTAGTTCCCCATTTGACACAAACCAACGCTACCCCTGATGATGGCCGGTGTACTGGCGTACCGGTCGAAATACGTATCGAGTACTCGCCAGTAGAACTTCACGCTATGGCGCTTGCGCCAACTTTTTCTATCAGCTACCATTGCAAATGAAACGAGCTGATTGCGCTCCGGGTATTCGCAAAACTTGTCTTTCTCCCCCCTTTCTCTCCCCCTTTTTTTCTCTCTCTCTTCTACCTGTCTATGGATGGCCAACAAGTGTTTACACTTAGCTGCTTATGTTGCTTGAGCTTTAATTCTCTTCCAGCATCTTGCACTCCTGTCTCGACGGACCATGCACCTAATGGGGTTTCGCCGTCTAATGATAGCGAAGCAGGGATGAGTTTCTCGCCTGCGTCGGGCCATGTCAGGTCTAGTATACCTCGCCTGGGCAAGCCTCATTGCTTGCGATGTAGACTCGATCAACAACTGCGCTTGAGTTCGATTGCAAGGGCGATGGGGAAGAAGTTGTCGTCCCTTGCTCATAACTCGGGAGGCAAGAAAAAAAAAAAACATTGTTCTTATGAGAACGTGTTTGATCAGCTCCTTGAGTGGAGTGCTGCCCACGTTGATGAGCTTATGCGATGTACGACCTGAGCGAGAAGTCGTCTGCCCATGGAGGTTCTTGCGGCCGGGGGTTGGCGTCAACTGCCACTCCGCGATCGTGAGGTGGTAGACCTCGGAGAAATGCTTTGAGGTGGCGCGACGGCAATGACGGATTTGCGGATATTGATCCGAAGTTTGAGAGTTTGACGGTGAGGGACCACATGGTCATGTGGGATGCACCGGCAAGACCTGATGTCGTGTTTCTTGAATTGGTGAAACTTCTCCAGATTCTCGGCATGTTCGAGAAATCTTGTCCTCAGCATGGGAAAAAGGTGGAGGTGACGATCAAGAAGATACATTATCCTTGTCACATTTGTAAGTTGCAATCCAAGTGTGGGAAAGGGTGTTCGTGACACTGGAGTTCCACGAAGGTTGTTGGTGGTGGAGTGAGAGATTCGAGGGTGGAGACTCAATTGTTCCACTTCACTGTGGCTGCGGGAATGACGTACACTCAACTGAACAACCTCTTGCTGGGCCTGGGGATGAAGAAGGTTAGGAAAGCAACATTCTACAATTTTTTCCGTGACGAAGGCAAAGGTTCGAGACAGTGGCTGCGGCACGTGGAACGAGTTACGCAAAAGACTTCGATAGGGTAATCGCACGTCTCTGCAGATCTGACAATCCGATTGTCATTTTGGTCGACGGGCGTTACGATTCGTCCCGTGACGTGCAGCATTGTACGGTGTCGGCGCTGGATTTGAAGTCTGGGATGATCGTGGGTACAGAGACGATGGTGAGGGGGGGCGAGTCATCGTGGCGGCTGGAAACGCAGTGTGTGGAGAAGCGTCTTCATCGGTTGAAGGACGAAAACAACCTAATAATCGTCGAGGTTGTGCATGACGATTGTGGTGCGGTTGACATCATCTTACGACGAATGAACATTGACTCGCAGAAGTGTATGTGGCACAAAGCCAAGACTTTGGTGAAACGCTTGGGAGAGGCTGGGCGTGCCACGAAGACTGTCAAGCCATTTGGTGGGCACTTACGAACACGTGCGCGAGGTGAAGTGTTTCACGAAGAGGGAGCTCGAAGTTTGGCTCGATATGAAAGGTGTGCGCATGCCTGGGGTGGCTACGAAAAAGAAGGACGAGCTTGTTGAAATAGTATGGGGTGTGCTCTTTCCCAACGAAGCAGGGAAACTGTTGCCAGATGACGTCGTCGAGATCGACGGGTTGGAGGCCTTGCATTGCAGTGCGGCGGAGGAGCCAAAGGAATGGTTGTATGGCGCTTGCAAAATGCGTGAACGGGCGGGGGATGACGATGGCAATGTGTTGGTTTCACATGTGCAATACCTGGCCAATCATTGGGCTGGGGATCATTCCCTTTACAATAAGGAGTTGTCAAACCTGTGCAAGGCGGCTGGCGGTTCGGACAAAGAGTCATTGTACGAGGTTGGGGGTCGGGTTCA